GTATACTTGTAGTGTAACAATAATTATACTTAAATAATTATTTAATGTAGTACTCTCGAATTCAGAAAGTAGTAAAATATATCATGTAACATAAACTAAGTCTGTCATAGTTTATATGTTTGTTAATGTGTGACTCTGAATTTGTAAACTCGTGTATTGAAATCCCAAACTATACCTATTATAGTTTGCATGTATGTTGTGTAATTAGTTCATGCATTGATCTGAAAACTATGCAATTATGAATGTATGTTGAAAATGTCTCTTATGCTCAGCATGTTACAAAAGGGATAAAATATCTAAATATTTTATAAAACATGGGAATATTTTGGTTGTATCAATTGCATAAGTTTTAAACCTGTTGAAATTCTTTTGTATAAGTTCACAAAATCATTTGTGTTTGGCTTGTATTCCCCCCTTGAAAACATTAAAAATAATAAAAGCGTAGGAGTATGAACTCACTGTTAGTCGTGTGAATAGTCGGACAGCGAGAACTGGGAGTGAAGACCCTCGAGTTGATGTACGCGGCACTTAACGGGATCCTAATAAAATTAATACATATATGCATTCTATTAGCGAAACCATTATTTATAGTGTTGGGAAAACACTTGTTTTCAGTTAGGAGTGTTACGGGGACTCGATTGAATCGGAAAAGTGGGTTTTGCAGCCAAAGTTCACAGTGTGAAGGAGTATGCGGCCGTGAAGAGTTTCCGGCCGTGAACTGTTCTCGGCCGTGAACAGTCCCTTGAAGGGTTTACGACCGTGAATGGTGTTCTTGAAGAATCTATGAAGGTTTGAAGGGTTTACGGCCGTAAACTGTTTGCGGCCTTTGAAGATTTGAAGATTTGAAGGGTGTACGATAGTAAACTCAAGAACAATGATGTTGGATTCGAAGAAAAACGTGTTTTAGCTGCTCCAAAACAACTTCCAAAGGTGATTTCTGATGATTTTCGGAAGAAAAGAGGGTGTTTTGGGTGTTTACGGTTGAGAGGTAGAGAGAGAGAATGAGAGAGTTATCGGCTAAGAAAGTTCAAATAAAGGTGGGGGTCCCGTATATATAGGTTGGGGGTATGGTCGGTGGTGGGGGCCACCTGGCACTGGCCGTAAACGGGTTTACGGCCGTAAATGGGTTTACGGCCGTGAACTCCAGTCAGGCCGTGAACTGTTGTTTTGTTCGAAGGAAAACTAGAAATTTCGCGTGGTTTTGGTCCCGACTCATATATAAAGTTCAATTATATAACCAAATGATTTTCCAAACCAAAGGAATTTGACGGGACTCAATAAAATTCAAATTTTATTAACAACAGTTAGCTGACGGTAACGGAAAAAGGTTCGGGTTGTCACAACATTGTATTCGATTCACATATGATTGACTCCAAAAGTAAATAGAAAAACAAATACTTGAAACTATTATGCTCCGTCTTCTCGAAACCTGTGCGTGTGCCTGTCTACTAGTTTCCTGAGAATACAAGTGATTTTGAAAGTGTATCAACATTTAAGTTGGTGAGTTCATAAGCATTTTGTTTTAGAAAATAAGTTTTTTGTTCCTTGAAAATGTTTGTGTGTTCCTTTAGAAAATCCTATATTTTCTTAGTAAAATGGAATATAGTCTTAGGCCTTAAGAGAAAAATATATATGTTTCTTATGCTTAAAGAATAGAATATGACGCTTTGAATTTATATAAGTAATGTGACCCATATTGGTTCCTACTATGGTTCTTCAGGGTATACTGGTTATATATAAACAAATATCAAACGGACAGTTGATTGTGTGAATCTGCCCTAAGCCCACAACCAAACAAGGAACGGGAAGTAAGGCGGAAATCACAGATTCCACTGCCTATCGGATATAACCCTGATGTATAAACTAAGAGATCATAGATCAACAATAATGGTCCTAACTAAAGAGTAAGTAATCGCATTTCTTTCCAGAAAGTTGAATTGTAAACTGTTTGCTTGTAAAATAATGATGTTTATCCTAGAAAATCCTATATTTACCATAAAGCCGAATTATAGTCTGAAACGTTCCAAGATCGAAAAGTACAAGTATAATTGTCATACTTAGTTTAATGATACGTAGTTTTATTCATAAGTAAAACTAGCTGAAGACGTGTTTGCACTATAACTAGATGTGATGTTAATACCCTCCTATGATCACTTTGTACATACGAGTTATATAAAATTGAGATCGAACGGACAGTCGAATGGGTGATTCTGCCCTAAGCCCACAACCAAACAAGGAACATGAAATAAGGCAGAAATCACACATTCCACTGTCTACCGGACATTAGTTTTATATAACCCTGATGTATATACTAAGTAATCACATAGTGAATACCCCTTTAAGACTTTTTGAAAATATATCATTACGTAATATTTAGTTAATGCTTATTGTGAGTGTTCATTATAACCATGCTAATATGACTAATGGCATGCACGACGTTCTTCAGGCGTCGGGAAGTTATGACATTTGTCACCCTAGACTTGCTGGTCTAACTGTAGCGAACAGCTGAGGTGCGGGGTTGTCAATCTCGTATAGATCTATACACAAACTCACGCTCTCCCTCTAGGAGACTCTGGTTATAATTCAGGATTTTAACGGGTACCATGTTTGGTACAACGAAGGAGTGACTCACAATCCTATAGTAACTAGTTTACATAAAGTGTGTTGAAGTTATCTTTTCCTTGTTATCGCATGTATTATCCTTTTATAGTATTTACAATGTATAAAATATTAATATTTTTATATAATGATTGCTTTGACCCAAAAGAGTAAAATAACATGAATGTTCCCCAAACTATACCTATTATAGTTTAAAAGTGTATGTTTCGATGAAATGGTAATACTTTAGTATTTTTAACCACTTTATACATAAGAGTTTATAAGTTTGGTAGTAACGAGTTTAGCATTTTTGCGTAAAATATATATAAAGTATGTGAAAACATAATAAACGATTTATATTTTTAAACACAAGATTTCTTGTGTTTTACTTGTATCCTCCCCTAAAACATAGAAAAACTTGGAAAAATGTGGGGGGGGGGGGGGTATGAACTCTCCTTGAGTGGTTGGTGTGTGTAGTTGAAGTGATGAGATC